TTGTGATCTGCTCCCATTCAAGAACTTGGGGCCATTCAGACAGAACTACAGCAGGCAGGTACAGGGCAAAAAGAAGGACTCTGGTTCCTCTCAAAGCACAGGCAGACCAAGTCTTCCCTGCAGGAAGGGAATGGGTGTTACGGATCCACAGAAACACCAGACAAGTTCTTGACATTTCCACTCAAGAGAAAACCCATGAGTGGAAGCACAGAGCTGACACCTGGCTCTTGATGATCCCACCCTTAAAAGATGGGTGGCCAGGAGGGCGCTGAGACACATGTCATGCAAGCAGAGTGCTCCTGCACCCCTTCCTGTGCACCCGTTTGGGATGGATACCTTGGATCCACTTTGTCTCTTGGTCTGGGTGGTTCCCAATCTAATCCTCTGCATCAAGGCTCCCTGCAGGAGCTGTGACCTGGAGCCTGCCCTCAGCAGATCTTCTCACAAGCAGTAGGAGGAATAGTTATAGGTCTTTAACCAACTGCCCTCTGTAATCCAGGGAGACTTCAGTTCACCACTTTGGACACAGTCAAACAAGCCATTAGCTGCTTCCCCTGCATAAGGGCAAGACAGATGACCTAAAAGGACATGAAATAACGTGACCTTTCATGATTTAAAAGTGTTATTTCACATTCAGCAATGAAACTAGCAGAGATGGTATTCTTAAAAATACCTCAGAACAATCACCTCCTTCCTCTGGCGTGAACAATGAGCCAGAGATACGGCATCTGCAGTTCTCTACTTTCAGTCTTCAGTAAGGAGATGCTGGGGATTCATACTGTTCTCCAACAGAACCACTTGACCTCAGTGCAGTTCAGGCTAATTACTTCTAAGAATACGTTTGTTTGCTCCCTGCATGGCTAGCATAAGAGTGATAGATGAAATATCGCTTTTATGACAGCACAGTTTGGGTTGACTGAATCAACGGCTGTTGGCTGAGTAATCCAGGCAAACAGAAACACTGCTTGTGATAAAAGAAGACCTGAGAATTTCCTCATTAGTGCCTAGATATTTTTATACTAGTTCACTCCCTTTCTGCTTACCATGCCTTTAATCTCCAAGGCTGATGCAGAAAATAGAGAGGATTCATCTCTCTACTCAAAGCAAGGTCATCTCCTGGCAACTGCTCATTGAGCTGGGACAGCACACGGAGACTAATTTTGTTGTACTGTGCTCAAAACTCAGTTGAGGAAAGGGGGAAGAAGTGGGAAGAACAGTGGACAGAAGCTGAGAGGGAAACCATGCCCATTCTGGGCTGAGTGGCTGATGCTACCATTTCTTCTGCTGCTCAGCACCACCAAGGAAAAAGGAAAGGGAACCTTTCTCTCTCTCTCTCCCCATCACCTGCAGGAATCCATACCACAACCCTGCCTGCAGATACCACCACATTCCCAGAAAGGCCATCCTTTCTTTTCATAGATATTCCGTGAGGATAAAGCTCTTACCATTCTTTGTACAAAGCAGAGCATTTCTGAGGCTACTAAAATTCTGCTTTAGTAGCTTGGATGAGTGGGTTCAAGCAAGTATTTAACACTAAATGGAGGCCTAAGCTTTGCTACCAGGAAAAGGGCATTTAGTTTGCAGCATGCCTTGTCCTGCGTGGGAAGATGTTGCTTCTGTCTGCTTCTGAGCTCCAGAGAGCCTTTCTTGTACTGCTTGGGACTGACTTGAAGCAGCAGGCACCAGGCGTTGGGACCTCTTGGCAGGCTTTTCTTAACACTACAGATCTTTTTCCCTTACAAGTCTGGCACCTGAATTACCAGCAAATGATCTCCAGCTGTTCCACAGGGGACTGCTCTTTGTGAGCTGCTATGCATGCAGCACACAGAGCAGGGCCAAGCATCCATCCAGCTCCTCAGCTTCTCCTCATGCTTTGTGCACTTCAGCCATGCAGGGGGCTGGTGCTTGCCAGACACAATCAGCTATAGGGGATGAGCCTCTGAACGCGCTCATATACCCCAGTTGCTTCCCCCAGCCATATGCCAAAGAAGATAACCACAGCAGGGCAGCTCTGAATCAATGGATGCTTTGTTTCTCTGGGCTTTGGGAACCCTGTCTGCAGAGTGGGAACTGCTGGAAGGCAGAGGGAATCAAGCTGCTATCACTAAGTATGGAGAGCTGCTCCCCAGAGGGTGTTACAAGGCAGCCAGCAGGGGAAAAGGGTGGGAAACTGGGAGGAGACCCTGTCCTTCAAATAAAGTGTGGGATCAAAGCCCAACAGAAGTTGAAGGGGTTCTGTCATTATTTCTGTTTGGTTTTCCTTTCCTCCCTTCCCTGCCACATATTCTGCCCCTTTTCCCATTCTCTGATCAAGGAATAACCGCATACTCCACAGCAGTGCTCACACTTCTTTGTAGAGGGTAATGCTGTGGCTTTGCTGGACAGAAAGAAAAACCTTCAGAAACCAGAGGTGGGGCCTTACTCCAGAGCATGATTTGCTAGAGGAAGTAATCCACTTTGGATCAGCTGGTGGGAAGAAGTAATCATTTTGGGGCTGCTCCCAAGAAACAGAAGACCACCGTGCCCTTTTAATAGCTTTCTCTATTTGCTCAACAAAAATAGAAGTCCTTTGAAAGATTAAAGGAAGAAAGCACCATAATTGACGGAGATCAGCCACAGGAAATCTACCAGAATTATTCCAAATTACCTCTGGGAGCAGCTTGGCAACTGCCTGAGGAAGCAGAAGACATTCAACCAGAACTGCCCAGACCAGACTGTAGCTCCCTTCGTGTCCATAGGTTTGCAGAGCTCCAGGAGAGCCACCATGTTCTGCTGACCTCCGGGCGGCTTCACCTCGCACTGCAGCTCCCAGAAGTTCGCACGCTGAAGATGTGTGCGGCAGGATCGCCCTCTAAAGGGAAGAGCTGAGAAAACCTGATCAAGTAACACAGGCGAAGTTAAGAACGTGGGCACGGGTGAAGCAATAACCACTTCTCACCCAGAGCCTTTGTTCTGCCTCCAAAATACGCTTGTAATCGTTATTTACGCTCTGCAATCATGAATAAATACAGCCAGACTACTGCACACTTAGCTCATGCCATTGTCCTGAGCCATTAACTCGTTGAGGCTGCCCCTGGCTGAGCTCATCCATCTATAAGTGTAAGTAGACAGCTACTTTGTGGTGTGAGCATCATCCGTGCTACAATTAAGAATGTTCTCTCCTTCTATAATCTGAACTCTGCACAAGGCAGGATTTCAGCTGCTTTATTTTAAAACTTGATGTCCCTCGGGGATCTAAAGGGCTAATTCTAGTTGCTGGGTTTTACGTATTTGCTTCTCAAGAAAACTAAAAGCAGGCAGGCTGCCAGTCACATCTTCACAGAGGAAAGGCAGTTGCAATGAAGGCTGTTTTAATTACTGCCTTCCTGTGTCTCACTCTTCCTTTCAGAAGGCTCTTACAGGGCAGGAAGGCACTGAGGCTCTCGTGCAATGAGCCAAGGGTTCTCTGCTTGTTGGCTTCTTCCTCTGTGCTCCTTGCCTGGGCAGCTCATGAGTTTCTCTGCAGTTCCTGGAAGGCACAGAGGGCTGGAGAAGGCTTCCTAGGCAGACACTCAATAGGGGAAGCAGCTTATTTCTAATAGCACACTGCTGTTTCTTTGCAGCCTTCTTGTCTCACCGTAATAAAGTGATTCTTGCAGTCTATTGACTAGAGACTTTTTAGGAAGCAATACAAGCCATTCTGGAAAGCAAAGAACTTACCAGCCAGGTTAAATCCACGCTCTGGAAAGAATCAAATTCTAAAATAGGAGCAAGGCCAGGAGTATCCAGGCATTAAAAACAAACACAACTCCACGTCGCCTTTCCCTGGGAACTCGAGTGCTGTGCCCACAGAGGGCCTCCCACATGGGCAGCAGCTCCTGGCTGTCCTGCTGCCACCAGAGGGGACCCAGAGGCAGACACCAGGTTCCTTGGTGGCACAGCTCCCTGGGACAGGCCTGGGTGTTGTTGCCAGGTCAGACAGATCTGTTGTCATGCTGTAAGATGCCACTGTAAGCTTTGCCGTGGAGAATCAGGCACCTTTATGTTTGAGGAATGTGCCTTTCCTCTGAACGTCCCAAGGAAGCGCAGACATCTCAGGTGACACCTGTTACACACTGGGCTCGTATCCATCCTCAGATTCCCCCTCTTTCAGACTCAGGTTTGCTCAATCTCCGTTCCCTGCTGCTTTCCCTCACAAGGTCGGGCAAAGCAAAAAGCCATTACACAGTCCTATTTTCCCTCCCTTCGCTTCAGCTGCACTACACAGGGATCCCACAGCTTTCAGGGCAGCTTTTTAACAGCACACGCAGCCAACACCGCACAGCCAAAGCACGGCTCACACATTAACTACTGCCTAACCCCAACCTCCAGCCACCGAGCCCTTCTGAAGCGCCCCTCCTGAGCGGTGAGCTCACTCTCGCTCAGCCCTTCGAGGCACTGTACGGCCTTTGTGCCTCCCCAGCAAACAGAGAGCAGCTGGGAGCGCCCATAGCGCCGAGGCCTGGCGCCCGGCCCAGCACAGGGCACTGCAGGGCAGCACGGCCTCACTGCAGCCTGCCCTGCCGGGCCTAAGGGAGCGCCTCTGGAAGAGCCGGACCTCGCCATGGCGAGGAGCTGTGCACGTTTATTTCCTCATCTTTCTCTTATTTAACAGCTCCGGGCCGTGAGGAGAACCGGGCCCGCTCAGGGAGCGCTAAGGGCTCCGACGTTGCACAAGGCCGCGGGGACACGGCACGGCACGGCACTACACTTCCCGGCAGCCCCCGCGCGCCTATTTTCTCGCTCTCTTTCTCGCGAGATTTGGCGGGCGAGGTGGGCGCGCGCAGCCCGCTCTTCCGCTCTCCGTGACGACATGGCGGCGGTGCTGGTGGCGGTGAGTCGGGCTCGGCGCCATCGTCGGCAATCCGCGGTCTCGGCGGCTCCGGGGGGAGCGGGGATGGCACGAACAGGAACGGGGGGCTGTCGCGCACCATCACGGCTGCTTACAGAACGCGAGACATCCGTGTCTTCTGGCGGTAAGGCAGCCTTTCGCCACCCCCCCCATGAGGCCTGCACGGCGGCGCGGCGCGCTGAGGGGACGCGGCCTCGCATCCGCCTCGCCCTCTGGGGCGCCCAGGCTGGGCCGTTAGGCCTGACGTGCAGCGATTCTTCCGCCGCGAGGTGCTCAGCACCGCTGTGGGTTCGGCTCAGCGCAGCGGCCGAGCGGAGAGCAGCACTGCACTGCCCGAACCCGGCCGCCAGGGGGCGCTGCTGCCCGCCGGCACCTCGCTGTGCTCACGGCTCCGCGTGCAGAGCGGACCGCGCCGTCCGGGCTTCGGCTGAGCCGGTGATGAGGTGATCGGTTATCCCTGTCCGAAACGTTCCGCTGTGGAAGCGTGACTCTGAGGCTCAGCATCGGAAGCAAAGAGGTAAAACAACGGTTTGTTATATGGCTTAACTCTCATCTCTCCGTTCTTTCAGGTGGCAGCATGTTGTTCAGCAAAGGGAAAAATAGCCTTTGCACTCACCTTCTCGGGAGGCTGAGTCTTTCACCGGGCTGGCAGTAAGCCTGTATCAGCAGCACAAAGGTGAGAAACAGCAGCATTCAACTCCTCATACTTCAGTTTTCTTCTGTTGCTGGGCTGTAGAGATCAGGCTCGTTCTGCTGTGTCAGGTGATATCCCTCTGGGCCCCTGGGGCTGCTGGGAGGAGGTATAAAAGCCTGATGCCTTGATTAATGTAATTAAGCCAATCAAGACTGGCTTTGTTGCAGCTGCTATCTGAGTGTGCAGCCCTTTGCTGCCATGTGGCACACAATGAATGGGAGTTTTAATGTGGTTGGTGCCCTGCAGAACACCTGGTTGTCAGCATTGTTGAAGATGAGCAAGAGTAGAAGGGATTAGAAGTAGATTGGATGACAGCTCATTGTGGAGACACAGTTCATCTCATGAGTGTGTTTGTCACAGAAGTAGACCTAGTGAAAGGATAATTGGTCTGTGTGCTTATCTGGAGGTGTGCTGGGATGGTTTTAAACTTGCATCGGGTTACTGGGAGCAGCTGACCAAAAGGTCACCAAAAAGGGACACTGGAGAATCGTTCCCCAGAACAGATGTATCTTTTTGCGACCTGCTTGAATGCATTTCCCAAGAAAATCCATAGATAACTTATATCTCACATGAGCAGATGATTCTCTGCGAGTTGTACAAGGTATTTCTGTATGATGAGAAGTAGCAGTCTGCATGAACAGCATATAAAGGTCTAAACCACCAAAGCCTCTAAGCTTATATTTTTTTCCTAAGGAAAGGTTTAAATGGCATCTGCCTCCCAAAGTTTCTTGTCTCGAGTGAAACAACTCGCTGGCAAACATGCCCCTTTGTTTCTGAGGGACAGGTTTCTGCTATGCTAAGTTTAAGGCAAAAATTGCCCATCTTAGAAAGGAAAACTTGTCCAGTTGTTGCTTTGTGATTCGGTGCTGGTTTTTGTCAGAAGGGATGGGGGAAAAACAAAGGCAGGACAATCTTAGCTCGGAGGGTTGTTGCTAACAGCCTTCAATGCAATTTCCATTTAGGAGGAAAATGTTGTGCAGAACCCTGGGGTTATATCATCCCCCAGAGACAGCTTTGGCGAGAAGGCAGCTGTGAAGTTGGACCTCAAACTGGTAAGAGAATCCTTGAGTATTTCTGTTAATCTTACACTTTTATGTGCCAAAACTGTAGGCAGTGTGACTCATCTGCTGACGAGAATGCCTAATCTCTGAGTGGTTCCCAGGAAGGACACAGCTCATAGGCATGGCTGCTTGTGGGCGTCTTCACTGCGTTTTATTCCGTAGAACTTGGGGAGTTGGTGTAGATGAGAGCAGGGGAGAAACAGAGCCGGTGATGTGCTGTTATCCCTGTCTGACAACTCAGCTGTGAGGGAGAAACAATTGTTCACTGAGGCTTCTGTAGTTCTTCCCCTCAGCAGTTCTCCTACATCTTGCAGAGACAGAAATGATGCAGGTGCCCACGAGGAGGGCAGAGAGCAGCATCTGTCCCCTTTCCTCCTGCAGTTGTGATGCACAGCTGCAGCACAAGCTCTTTTCTGTATGCCTGTATCTGCCCTCAGGAGCCCAGATATGGCAGGGCTGTGCAGAGACCATAACAATAAACATAGGCTGCTATAGTCGTAAGTACAGTTTAGTTCTACATTTACGAAGAGCTTTTAAGTTGCTTGTCCAAACAGTAGAACACATTTGGAGGGCAGATAAATACGCTTTAATCTTGCATAGTCATTAAATACACACTCTGCTAGAGCACTTTATCTCCAGGTGGCTGACAGCTGCATTCTGCTCAGTAGTTCCATGCTTTATTTAACAGAACTCGTGTCTGTTTGTAGAAGATCAGTGCTGTTCACTGATGGGCTGAACCAGCAGACTTGACGACAGCATACTTCCGTAGGAAATAAAGGTTGGTATACAAAAAGGGAGGAGATGTTACTGCAGCCAGCAGAGTGGCAGCTTTGTCAATACAGATAGGTTCCAAAAAGCAGTCACAATGGAAAGCATGTGAAGCTTTGGGCTTGCAAGGAGCAGGGGGGGGAAAAAACAAAGCATACTTTTGGTCTTACAAGAGAGTTGTGTACTCTTGATTCAATAGTGCATATCATTGGGAACTTTTCAGCTGATGGTTGATTCTGCTCTGGCTCTCTTTTCCACAGGACCTGATTTGCAGCTGGCTGGAGGAAGGAGCAAGTGGTTCCTGCAGTTTGCTGTTTCTGAATAAAACAAATCATTGAAAATCAGTCTTTTTTGGGTATCTGCTTTGAACAGAAATGACTTTGGGCAAGTAGAAAGGATTTCAAATTGAAATGCCTTCTGAAATAAGAGCAAGCGTGAGTCTCTGCCTCATCAGTCTTCAGATTTCATTGTCTTCCACAGAAGAATGCCAGAAGTTGAGGAGATGAATTCACAGTAACTGTGACTATGGCTGATCTGGGGCTGTGAAAGATACAGTGCTTGTGGTCAGCTTAGATGCTCCAAGATAAGGGAGCAGTGACAGGCAGCAGTATAACCATCAGGTTCCTGGGTTGCTAAGGTAATAAACTGGGGAGTGCTTTAACTCCAGGCTAGAAGGGAAAAACCCTTCCATTTTAAAATAGAGAAGCTGTATGCGAGTCCAGCAGGTTCTGGTTTGCTCCCAGTTGTATCCCTGGGAGCTGGATGGGGTTCATGGTGGGATGCTGCACTGTGTCAGCATTCCTTTTTAAAAGCTGCTCTTTTTTGCTACGTGTGGCACAGTGCCACTGCTGGGTGTGTTCAAAGCCACCTGGGCTGTGCTCACACTTGGACTGAGGAGCTTTCGGTGCTCTGTCTTTTGGGTGATGTGAGAATCAGACGTGTTGTCATGGAAGAGGTTTTGCTGAGTGTTTGTATGTAAAAACAGGCGTAACAGGCTGCCATGGAACCATTGTGCAGTGTCTTGACGTGAACAAAGGTTAATTTGAGGCGTACCTGAGAAGGCAAACAGGGCTCCACTAGAGATTACATCTGAAGCAGGTCGAAGCAGCTGAGTGCAGCTTTGTGTCACAAAGGAGGATGGAGCTGGAGGGGAGCTCGAGGTTCCCTGGCTCTCAGCCTGGTTATCTCTTGCCATATCTGCAAGCAATTGTCCCCTCCACCCTTCCAGCTGACGTACAGCAAATGGCATCGAGGTGGGAAGAGGCTGCTTTCAAAGTGCCCAGCGAGCCGATGCAGCCACCACCCTGCTGCTGTGTTCTTCCAGAGCTGTGCTTGGGCAGCATCCCTATAACCCCACTCCCACCCCTAACCTGCACTTTGCCATTCCCAAATCAAAGCCTTGCTGTATTACAGGAGGCAGGATGCTTTGTCCAACCCCCCCCATTCACTAAACAAGGCATAGAAGAAAATAATGACTCAATGTTCCTCTAATTACACAAAGTAATCAGATCACACCACTCCCTTTGCTGTGCAGTATCAGCCCTCCAACCACCGAGAGCTGGAGGAGCCTCTGCCACTCCACTGCAGCAGTGCTGGAACACACAGGATGGTGGGAGGGTTCCAGACCACCTCCCTTTGAGTTTCCTTTTTTCCCTTTTAAGTACCACGCTGTTGATAGCTCTGCCCTGCAGGTTCTGCAGCCTATCCAGTGTGACTTCAAGGCTGTAACTCTCCAGGAAATTCCAAGAAGTGAGGTCTGTCAGATGTATGCTTCTCCAGCATCCCCTTCGTCCCCACCTGCGGATGAATGCTGTGCTTCCCAGGGCTGCTGCTGCCCCACAGACATTCTCAAGGCATCGGGAGCTCACAGCCACGTGCAGAGGTGTCCCAAAGCCACGCCAGTCTCAGAGTCATGAAATGCTGGAGGGCCCTGAGGAGTTGCAGTATTTCCCTGCCAGCCTTGGCTCGCCCTGCACCACCACCTTTGCTCTGCTGTCAGCTGCAGGCACTGCTCCTCAGGCTGGCCTGCCAGTATGTTAGAGCCCTCCAGGGACAGGAGGAGGCCTTCAAGAAAGAGGAGAACTTCTTCCGTGCTGCACTGAGAGTCCTTGCAGTGGGACTGAGCTGCCCTCACCGCTGATACAGCTCCATGATCCCCGCCTGGTGCAAACTCCTCCACAGCTCTGCTTCCAGCAGCATGTCGTGGTTGGCGTAGAACACCAGCGGCTTCTTCTCTGGCTCATAATAATGGTCAGAGAACTGCTCGTAGTTGGCCGTGATGAACCCGTAGGCACTGACCTGTGGGGTGATGGGATGGAGGAAAAAGGCTGGTGATGGGCTCAGGGTGGGAGGTTCACCCCAGGCACTGGGCAAGGCGTCCCCTCACCTGATCGCAGGTGTGCAGTGCTGTCAGCAGCATGAGTGCCCCAGTGCTGGGCATGTAGAGGTGGCCGTACTGCATGTCCAGGAGCTCTGACCTCAGGAACCTGCAGAGCAAAGCTGAGGCAGCACTGGGAGAGGGGCACGGCATTAAGACCCCCCACCAAACAGCAATGTAAGGCAGGACACCCACCAAAATGTGGCCTCTCGTGGCATTTAGAAAGGAGAATATGTGGATTCTCTGATGTCTGCTGCTAAGGTTCAACACATTCTCTGCCAGCTGCTAAAACATACCTCCCCATTATTTAAAATTGCCCCAAACCAGGCACTGGTTTCCATGAAACACAGAAAAACAAACCCAAATCTCTTTGCACCTTTTCCCTCTGCTCCCATTAGAACAATTCAAAACTGGCTATGAAGTGGAGGGCCAGGTGAATGCAGCAAGGCTGTATGAGCCTTCCCACCAGGAGGAAATGTGAGCACTGCAATGAATGGGATTGGCAGGGGGGAAAATCTGCCTCCTCATCCTCACCTGGTTGTCAGGTAATGCAAGAAATCGGGATGCAGCAGCTTGAACTTCTCCGCGGATGCCTCCAGTCCAAAATACTTCTGTGGCCTGCAGCAGGGAGAGGAGAACTGGTGTCACAGAGGGTAGAGCTGGGCATGTGGTGGCCCATTGGTGAGTTCACTCACTCGTCACCCTTGTCCAAGCCCTCGGGGACCGGGCTGCCCTGAATGGCCGACCTCAGCATGATGTAGTCGCGTGCGTCCGAGGGGATGAAGATATACTTCAGGTCCTGCAGCAGGAACACGGGCACGGTGAGGACTGAAACTCCTGAAGCTTGGAGGAGCCTCAGGGGTCAATTTCATACAATCATAGAATCATTAAGGAAGGACCATTAAGATCATTTGGTCTGACCATCAACCCATCACCGCTATACCATTAAGCTTGTCATTCAATGCAACATCCACTCTTTTCTTGAGAACCTCCAGGTATGGTGACCCCACCACCCCCCCGGCAACCCATTCTTAGGGGTGGGCACCCTGACATGCCCTCGGGGTCTCACCTTGCCCTGCGGTGTCTGGGTGAAGCCATACGCCTCATAGGCAATGAGGGAGTTCTTCATGGTGTTCACCGTGAAGCCGTAGAATGAAACCTTGGTCCCAACATCCTCCTCAAATCCTTTGATGATGGCCCCATTGAGCCTGCAGGATCACCACGGGGCAATGTCCAGGGCTGGGTTCACCCCAGCACCCACAGCCCCACTGTGCCTTCCCAGCCTTACCTGAAGACCAGATCATGTGCATCGATGGCCCGGCCCTGCCGTGAGCCGTTGAGGATTCCCCCATTGCCCACCACGGCGCAGCGGACGCAGCCCCTGGGGAAGCGCTCATGGTCAAAGAGCTGAGTGTTGGAGGAGCTGTTAAGGAGATGCAGGGTGCTGCCCACAGCTGGATTAGGGAAAAGGGAGAAGTACGTGTCAGCACTGCTGGGAGCGCTTCAAGCAAGTGCTTGTGGATGGGTGCACCTCAGAGGGAAAGAATCACAGCATTACTACGGTTGGAAAAGTCCTCTAGGATCACCGAGTCCAACCCCAACCCATCCCCACTGACCTCATCCCTCAGTGCCACATCTCTGTGGTTCCTCAACACCTCCAGGGACGGTGACTCCACCACTCCCTGGGCAGCTGTGCCACTGCAGCACCGCTCTTACGGAGAACAAATCTCTCCCAGCCCCATATTACTGACCCCACTTCCCCACAGCAGCTGCCCAGTGCTGTGCAAGGCACAGGGACACATCTGGACAGCCCCAGACCTGTGAGATGCCAATGCCAGCCCTCCTGAAAAAATCTTCTTGCAACCACCCCCTCCTTGCTCTCCCCATCACTTCCCTGCCAGGGAGAGCAGAGAGTAGGTTTGGGCTTGGAAGGGAAACAATCTCCATCGACAACAATGGAGCGGGTTGTCCAAGGTCCTCCGTGCCTCAGTTCATCATCATGCACACACTGGAGCTTTTATTTGGGGAAAATGTCACAAGATGCTGCAAAAGCAGCATTTGCAAAGCTGTTCCCACCACCACGCTTCCCTGGGAGTGGGAACAGACTGAGATCCCCAGCTCCTCTGTGGGGTTTCTCCATTTCTGGCCCCTTCTGTCAGGGTCTCCTTGAGCCCCCCAAGCCTCATACCTGCTTGAGATAAGCCCTGCCAGCCGTATGGGACACGTCGTGCCTTCAGCCTGTCCCACGTCTCGGGGTTGAAGTGTTGGTCCCACATCAGCACAGGGACGTCAAATTGGAAGAGCTCCTTAAATCTGGGGTCTGCCTTCGCCGTGGCCACCACCGAGCGGGAGCACAGGGTGGGCTGCAGGGGGAGAATGGTCAACACTGAGCCTGGGGAAGTCTCAGCAGGCACCAAGGGGAGGTCAGACCCAGGGACAGAGCTGCTCCTTTCTGGCTGCTGGAGGCACAGCACTGCCTCGTGCCTCCGTTTCCAAAATGCAGAGCCCATCTCCCTGGAGCGCTGAAGGATTGGGCTTTATGGAGATGGATGTGACATCTCCTACCCTGGGCACCTGGATGGAGCACAGGGACAGTCCTGGCTCACAGGAGCAGCCCCCCGATGTGGGGACAGGCTGGTGGCCCAGGGGACAGCACCAGGGACACTCCACGTCCTGCTGACTGTCACCTGCTTTCCACTGGGTTTGGACTTCTCCGGCTCCGAGGATGGTTGGGAGAAGAAGCTGGAAAGGGACAAATATAGCAGTGAGAAGGGCTCAGGAGGCTCCCACACGCACTGGGGTCATCACGCACTCCCTCTCTCTCCCCATTTACCTCTTCACAGTCCCTCTGAGGTCCTGCTGGTGGCTGTTGTCTGGATGTGAGGCGTCTGGGTGAACCAGGAACAGCAGCTCTGGCTGCAGCAGGCTGCAAGGGGAGAGCAGGAGGGTGACACCGAGTCCTCACCTCAACACACTCCCCATCCTGACAGCCCCTGCCCATCACTGCACTGGGGCTATTAGGGCTCTGCAGGGGTGGCTGATGAATGCTCTGATGCCCCACATCAGTGCCACCCCACATGAAACAGGGGAACAAAATGCCTCTTGTGCTCATACTCCCACTGCCAACCTCTTGGGGATGCACTCTGCATCTCGGGGGGCTCAGATCCTCATGGGTGCCCCTGAGGCAGGTCAGGGCTGGGCAGGAGGTGGGAGCCCACCTGTGGGGAACAGGCTCCTATTCATTCCTCCCCACACAGAAGGGCCCTTCAGAGCAGCAGGTGCTTCCAGCAAAGCAGGGCATTGTGGAGCAGACAAGGGCTCCTTGTTATGGGATCTCAGGGACAGGTAGAACAGGTGGGGAGCACAGCTGTCTCCTCCCGTACAGCAAGCATTGGGTTTCCTCCACTCTTTCCCACTGCAGGGGAGGGACATCTCCTCCCCGTCAGCTCCATCCCTAGAGCTGATGCTCACAGCCCACCTGCTGTACCACAACCAACCCTCACAAGGTGCCAGCTGTCTGTGACACAGCTGCTGCCCAGCACCTCCCGGGATGCAGTGTCCCCATGCCCAGCAATGCTTGGCTGCCCCAGAAAATGACAGCCCCCCCTGGACCCATCGATGCACAACAGGGCTCTGGAGAGGCTGGGCACCATGAGTTGAACCAGGGTGTGTTCAGTCCCTGTGGTGGCACTCATCAATGTGATATCTTTGCTCTGTGGTCACTCTTTGCTTCCAGAAAATAAGTGGGAGAGCGCTTATCTGAAGCAAACAGTGCCAGAGCCATTGGAGGTAGCTGGAACAGCAGCATCTGCTCCATCCCATTGCAAAGGGCTGAGTGTGGGGTCTCCTCCACAGCACAGAGCTCAGGTGAGATGCTGGGGATGGGCAGAGCTCCACACTCAGGGCTCAGCACCCTCCCGACCCCTGCATGCCCCCACCAGGCTGCAGCAGGAGGAGATGTTGTGCACTCTATGCTCCCCAAAACACAGCACTGCTCAGCCACCCCTTGTGCTCCAATGGGAGGAAAAGCCCAGAAGGTCACCCTATGCTCGTGTTTAGCAGTAAGGAGTGCTGCACCTGTGGATTTCAGTCCCAGCTCAGCCCTGTGTCAGCTGCCAGAGCAGCGCTGGTGGCTCCAGGTTGGTACTTTTGGAGGCACAAGCAGAGATTACGGGGCAGTGTGTTTGCAAATACTGGGAATCAGAGCCAACGGGACACGAGCTGCACTTTGGTATTGACATTAAAGCCAATGGGAACGATTCCAGGAGAGCTTTGGAGCCGTCGTGGGGTTCAGTTTCCCCTCTCAAGGGCACCCAGGCACGAGCCCAGCACTGTGCAGCAGCTCCTGCCTGGGCTGTGAGGTGGGATGGGTGCACAGAGCTCCCGCTGGGGGAGATGCAGCCCCAGGGCAGCCCATCCAGCTGCATCCCAGTGCCTCCATGTGCAAACCTGCCTGCACCCCGTGTAGGACTGGCTGTGATCCTACAGTCTCCCCTCCGTCCCATAGCACCATCCCTGCTCTCACAGCCGTGCACACGAGGCTGCCCAGCACCAAGCCCAGCACTGAGGGTGCTCAGGGGAAGGCTGAAGGGAAAGCAAAGGGAGAGATGCCCCTTGTTGGAGTCTGGGAGTTTATGGGATGCGGGCAGCCGTGCCCTGCTCTTGCAGCTACAGTGTAGGGTCAACCCTTCACCCTGGAAAGCAGCCCCTTCCAACACTGCTGCCGGCGGTGCTCTGATCCCTCACCCTGAGTCCTTGCAGCCTTGCAGCCCCCAGCAGTCCCATCCAGGACCCAGGACACCCTGCGGTGGGGGGGGGGAAACAGCCCTTCAAACAGCGAACAAAGGGGGCACGGTGGGGCTGAGCAGCTTCCAGGCCCCCCAGACCCGCTCCACACGCATCCCCCATACCTGGCCGCGACCCTCGGGCCGCTGCGCAGCTCCACCGTAGCGTAGTAGTGTCCGTAGAGCAAAAGGGACGAGGTGAAGGCTGCGAGGAGCAAAAAGCAGAAACGCTTCCAGCGGGGGAAACCCATCTCTGCTTTCCGGATTAGGTCCGCGTGGATCCGAACGCGGCGGTGCTGCGCTGCTCCCCGCAGCCGGGATGGATGGATGGACGGACGGACGGACGGACCGATGGATGTTCCCGAGGAGCGGTGGGAGGAAGGAGGGTGTGAGCCGAAGGGAGGAGGCACTGGGCGGACTGGTTCAGACTCGCTGAGAAGAAAAAAAAAAAAGCACTTTTGAGCCGCTTTTGCTGCGCGCTGGGGGTTAAACATTGACTCAGAGCGGCTTTTGCGTTTGTCTTTTTCTTTTTCTTTTTTTTTTTTCTCGCCTCCCTTTCACGCCACCCCCTCGCTGAGCACAAATCGGAGCTCTCTCCCTTTTCCCGTAACTTTTTCATCCGCTTCTCTCGTCCGCCGCTCCCACGCCGGACCCCGTGGGCGCATTGCGGCCAGCGCGGAGCCCGGTCTGTAAGAGCCGCATTGGGGCGGAAAGAAATGGGGAGGGGAAAGGAGGGGAAAAAAGGGGAAGGAAAATGAGGGGAAGGTTAAAAAAAAAAAAAAAAAAAGGGAGAGGGGAAAAAAGGGGGGAAGGGAAGAAAAAGGGAATCTGCCCCAGCGTTGCTGGAACTGCCCCCAGCACCCGCAGAGGAGCTGTGAGCAGAGGGCTGGGGCTGAGCCTGGCTGCTTTCTGAAGGAAAACGTTCAGCTTTTTCTTTGAGGGTGTATTTCCAGATACGTTTTGCCAGGTTCATCTAACTGAAGAAAACCTGCCAACTCCAAGCGTTTCCTAAATGGTTTTCTGATTTTTCTTACGCCGTGGGACAGCATCCAGCATTGATAGCTGGGGTTTGCCTCAGCTCATGTGATTCCTTCTGACCCTTCGTTAATCAGGGCTAATTGTTACCCACTGTGTGGGTAAGTCACAAAGGAGTCAGTGTGGCTCAGCCCTGGGGGAGCAAAGCATGAGCAGGCTGGGGAAAGCCATGGGTTTGCCATGTGGAGATGCCTGCAGCCCTGTAACACAGCCCTGCTGCCTTCCCCCATCAGGATGGAGGAGCTGCTCTGATATCTCCATCCGTTTCCACTCCATGTGGCTTTTTGCTGTCATTTCTTTGCTGAGATGCACAGTTCGTCTGCTCCACTTATCTTATGCCACAGTGCACACCTCAGATAAGTTGTGCTTGTTTAGAAGCTGGGTGTGTGGTAAGGTTTTAGGATGGTAACTGCCATTAAGGTTAGGAAAAGACCACACACACAAAATAATCATGATAAGAAGGTCATCCTTAGCCTCGGCTGTGCATTCGGGCAGTTGCTTTTTGGAACTCAGATCTGAGCCATCCACGCTGCTGAGGGAAACTGGGAATCACAGAATCATTAAGGTTGGAAATGACCTCCAAGGTCATCCAGTCCGACCGTCTGCCCAACACCAATATTTACCACTAAACCACATCCCTCAGTGCCACATCTGCACATTTCTTCTACAGCTCCAGGGACGGTGACTCCACAACATCCCTGGGCAGCCTGTGCCAGTGCCTGGCCTCTCCTTGGGAGAAATTTGTCCTCAAATTGAATGTAAGGAATGGGAAAACAGTCATCTGTTGGCCAAACCTCCCCTTGCCATGTCCTTGCAGAGGTGAAATGCCTTCACAGTCCCTCGTGGTCCCAGTGGGGGGCTTTCAGGTCTTTGTACAGGGAGGGGCAGCACAGAGGATGCTTGGTCAGTCTGAGCAATGGGCTCCACCTTTGTGTTTTTCACCCCAAAGCTGCCCAAGGAAACGGGGCATCAATCTCCACTATGGATAGAGTGGGATGCAGCACTGAAACTGGGCTAATGTGGCTCATCTTCGTGCCAAACCAACTGGATCCTGCTGGACAGCTGTGCCCTGTGGTGCCCTTGTGCTGCCTGCAGAAGCAGGAACATCAATGGGATGAGGCTCCCCCTGCACTGCCCCATTGGACTCAGCCCCACTTATCACAGAGATGCCTGTGCATAGCAGAGCTGTCGGTCAGCCCTGGACTGCTGGCTGGGGCTGAGATAAGCTGAGCACACAGTCCGAAGGGCACAAGGCATTCAGTGAGGCTCTGGGATCTGTCCTGGATGGGCACAGAGCTGGAAAACACCTCTGGGGTGAGGTGATGGCACTCCAAGCGCTCTTTTGGCTGCTCTGGACCAATCCTGCCAGGCTCTCTGCAGGCCAAACATCCCCTAGATCTGCTGAAGCAGGGCACCTGGGGGCTGGCCATGCTCTGTGTCCTTAATGACACAACATCACAGAGCACAACTCGGTGCTTGCCATGTCTGCCTGCACGGTTCCCATGGTGTGACAACCCAGGGACCCTGGGATGTTTCCAGGGGCCTCTCCAGGATCTGTGCCCCAGGGCTGGGTCTGGCCATGCCTTAGGGTTGCCACATCTTAGGAGCTGTTTGCCTGCAGGGCCCCGCTCCAGTTCCCTCCCAAAGCACTCAGGGAAGGGAGGTCATCCTCTGCTTTGTGCAGAACAAAGCCTCAGGTCGCTCCTTTATCTTGTTCACCCTCCCTTATTACCAATAGTTTTTCTTGTCCAACTGGCTTTCCCTGCTGCCACATCCCTGAGAAGAGAGCACAGGTCCACAGGCAGAGGTGAGGAAGGGTGCAAGCCTCACCGAGACCTGCCCCAAACCCACTGTCTGTTTGGGTAACACAAATAAACATCAATTCCATTGGGCAAGTCACCAACATGGGGAGGTTGTGAAAGGGAAGAGAGGGAAACCAAACAAAGGGTTGGAAGCCCTGCCAGGAATGTGGCACTGTGAGCAGGGGGGGGTGTCCCTGCATGCCAGCAGGGAATAGCTGGGGGCTGTTAACTCCTGGGGAGCCCAGCGAGAAGGACACAGCTGTACTTACAGCTCCTGGCTCTCTCCAACATCTTCCTCCCAAAAAAAGCAGGGCTGATGTGACAACACTTTCAGGGTGTGATGGCATCGAACTGCTTCTGTATGCACTCCAAATAACTTCCATGCCATAACCCACAAGTGCAGGTGGGCATCACGAGGGGGACAACGGCCCACTGGGACACAGCCTGTGCCACACCTGGATGCCCACAGCACAGCCCTGGACAGCAGCTGCCACCTGGTGGCACAGGGACAACGCTGCTGGCTTGGATGCAGACATTTGGGGTGGCCCAGAACCACGTCCTCGGTCACCAGGGCAGCTCTGGAGAGACTGGGGCTGCTCCAGCACAGCCCAGCATCACCAGTTTTGCCCTGCCAGGCACACCAAACCTCAGGGCTGCAGACATTCTGTTGTGTGGCTCTACCCTAAGAGAGGAGCCAAGGGGGAACAGGTTCTGCTGGTGGGGACATCATCCTAGGGAGTTTCCTTTCCTTGACTCCGGGGACCCTCAGCTGCAGAGGAGATGGGTGCTGGGGGCTGCCAGCCCATCCCAAAGGTTGGGCTCCTTGTTTGCTCAGCAGGGCTCAAGCCCTGCCCTGTTTCCCAGAAAAGAGGGAGACAAAAGAGGAAGAGGGGGAAGGGAGGAGCTTAAAAGAAACTTCTTCCAACTTCTTGGGAGGAGAAAAGCCCTATTCAGAAGGGAAGAATACCCAGTGGAGTCGGTCACCAAGCAACCCACAGCAATGCATGGGCAAGGAACAAAGCTGCCTGCTGCCCATCCAGAGCCCCTAGACTCGGGGCAGCAGCCATGCACAGGCACTGCAGGGCACAGAGCCTGTGGGTGCAGCAGGAAAACCCTCCGTAGGCTCTGGGGAGTGACTGACCACAGATAAGATACTGACCACATCTCAAAAGGCTGCAATGGAAATCAGCTTGGGTAAAGCAGTGCCGTTTATTTTGTTTGCAAAAGCCCACTCAGAAGGCCAGTACTCTATTGTGTTTTGTCAGCACAATGTAGGCAGGCACTCCAGTCAGCAGCAAGGACAGACAGCATCCATCCCTGGATATTGAGAATTCTCATTTCTCCTGATAGGAGAGGAAGAACCATGTTCCTGGCATAGCCAAGCACCAGCTTCTTCATCAGACTTGCTACATGTAGTCAGCAGCCAGGGGAGTCCCACAGCAAGAGGCACAACATCCATCATCCTGCTGCACTATGGAGAGCTCTCCCCTTCCCTTGTGCTGATGGTGAACTAGGCCAAGGTCAGCAGGCTGGGCACCAGACATCACAGTGCTCCCCAAGAGGTGTCACAGCAAAGTCACATTGGGAATTGAGATGCGTTTGGAAGTTAAGAGTTCAGTCCTTCTTTATGTCTGCAGGGAGCAGAGTGACAACAGCATCTCCAGGACACAAATCATCCCCTTGAGACAGGATTGTCCATGTCCCCATTTCTATCCACTCCTTACCCAAAACACCCAGCTCCACAAAGAGCACTGCTCACAGAGAGAACCCACCTAGAACAAAACTAGCCCCAGCCCCAAGACCATCTCTTTGCAGAGGGAGAACCTGATTAAGATAATGGACACTGGAACATCTGCTATTCAGATTCATCCTGGATTTCTCTTTCTCAGCACCAGAGCCTACAAGCATCCACAAGTCAGATGGGACTTGTTTGGAGGCACTTTTCCCTTCTGTTCTCTTGGTCTATAGAATATGCATGTTTTAGGAAGTGTTGTGAGAAAATAAAGATACCAAAGGAGGGAATTATCTCCGTGGAGCTGAAGCTGGGCCTGGAAGTCCAGAGCTAACCCTGGCTTCTGAGGTCCTCCTCTGTTCCCCGTGAGGTGTTGTTGAGATTTCCCAGGCAATGGCCCTCACCACACAGTCAGGATCTCTGGTAGAGCTTCATTATGTTCTCATCATGAAGCCTTTTCCACACCTGCTTCTCCAAGTTGAAGTCATGGTTAATGTAGAAGATCAGGCGTTTCCACTCCTTGTCATAGTAGTGATCCGAGTACTTCTGGTGACCTTCTGTGATGTAGCCATAGGCACTCACCTGGGAAAGACAAGAGGGCTCAGCAGGGAGAGAGATCAAGGACAGAGGGAGCTAAATGAAATACAGGACAGCTCCCAAACGGGGTGGGAGCACATAAAAAGGACGCCTCCCAGTTTATCTGCAAGGGCACCCAAGATAGACCAGGCTGTGAAGAGGCCCAGAAAGCCAACATCCTCTTACACTGACTGCCTGGGAGGCACAACAGCTCTCAGGCCTTAAAGCAGGCTGCACAGCCTTTGTGTGAACTATTTTGGGGCTGCTTTTCTTGTGCTCACTTTGT